AAAGACTTGATCAACACAATCAAATAAGACTTAAAGACTTAGACTGATCGGTTGAGCAAAGTCACACAAAGAGGCCTCTTCATTGACAGTTAAATAAGTGAAACCATTAAATTGAATAAAATGATTGACTTAGAATAAGTGAAAGCGAAGAACTTTTTCACTAATTTCTGTGATTAGAATTTAAAATTTTAATTTTTGTCAAGCTCAAGATGAGTCAAAAGTAATTACAGGAATTTATACTGAAACTAACAGGGATTTTCCCTCCCAGTTGATGTTACACTTTTGGAGCATTCAATTTCATCTTTTTGTTTGCTTTCGAGATTAGTTTTGGATTCTTTCAAGTCATCCTGAAATACCTGTTAAACCTTGAATTTTTTCGAGAATAGACTGAAATCAGTTGAGAAAATTTCGTTTTGATAATTTTATTTTCGATTGAAAATAGTCGTCGGCCATTTGAACTTTGTAACTTTAAATTTCAATCATAAATGTCATTTTGAGATGAACTTACGGAATGATTGATAGAATATCAAATTTTGTCTTTGAAAAATGATCGAAAAGCTTTTGTCTATTGAGCTTTTAACTCGTCTTGTTTGACAAATTGACATCAATCACTTGAATTATCCAAGAATAGAAACAAAAAATTCACTTTTACCTGTTAAAAAATCTAAAATTGATTCAGTTGTTGAAATGTCATTTTGAAAATTCAGTTTAATCAACTTCGCTTATTTTCAGAGTTACTTGAACATGGATTTGTTGGCTCGATAGATTGTTAAACTCATAGGATTAGGTTATTCCCAAAGTCAACATGGAATGGTCAAAATAGCTAAAAATAAACTCGAATCAATTTTGCATTTTTTTTGACAAAATGAATACGAAATGTTTACTATTCCTTTTCATTCCTTTTTTGATTAATATTTTAAAGATATTCCTAGAAAATAATTAGAACAATTTGGCTGAATTGAATCATGTTCACGTGAGAAAATGCAGTTTATGGATTATAATGAAACTCGGCGAAAACTAAGTAAACATTTTTATATTCAATTTAAAGACATTCACTGGGAGTAAACATGATAATAATAATTGCAAGGAAAGTTGAATTATTACATCGATTCTCATGTGTGACTGTAAAGTACACAAACTGTTTATCTTATGAACACAACATTTGAATGAGAAGTAAAAAAAATGAGCACAAAAAACATGAAATAATTAAGCAAGGAATGAGGAATTGTGTAAGAAGAAAAAGTTGCGGAAATTAAGTTTCAAGACATGAATAATTACGATTAAAATGGTTCCATGATGAGCGTAAACATCCAAGAGACTCAAGAGATTCTCTTTACATTTAAATCAGAATTTGTTCATTTTCCAATTTGATGGGGAAATGAACATTTCAATTGATGGAAAATTTGAACAAGAAAAATATCACTTTTCAATCATTTCATCTGGAAAGTGTGAAAACTCAGGCAAAGTTCATTTCGTCTGGGAAAATGTTATGGTGTGTTAACAGGTTAAGAATGATTAACAGTAATGACTTGTTAATGATGGCGAATGAAAAAAAATGTTCATTAAAAGATTAATAAAGTTGCATTGTTTTGCTGTTGCTAAGCTGCTGTTGTTCGCTGGTTATGCTGGTCAAAGGGAAACCATTAATAATATTGGTTTACAAGTTCAATTTTGGGTTCTCAGACAATGCAAAATGATAATAAATGTTAATCAATAAATCAACATTTTCCTCTCATTTAGCTTTTCTTTTGTGGTTTTAAGCTCTTCTTTTAATAATCAATTGTAATCAACCTGAAATTGATTTAATTTGTAAATCATTTTTCATTCCCTAAATCAGGGTAAATCAGGGAAAAGACTTTAACAGTTGAGACCCAAACATTAAACATGAACATTGATTGAATCCAATTGGTAAAGGATAATTTATTATTTAAAGCAAAAGCCAAGTGATTAATGAAATGAAGAATAAAAATTATGATAATCAAAATTTATGAGCAAAATGATGACAAGCAAATCAATTTAACTTTGTACTAAATCGATGGTTCCTGTTGACAGGTCGACAATGAAAATCAGTACCAAATGACTTTTCATTGAAACTCGAAACCTTGAAATGTATGAAATGGTCGACCTAACTAAAGTTTAATTGACATCATTTTTCATCAGAGAATCAATGAGTTCAAGTTTCAAGTTCAAGATAAGTTGAACACTGAAAAATAATTGAACCAAATGTTGATCCATATTGTTAGAACGAAAAAAATGTTGAAATTCGAGTTCGTTGATTTGTTGAATTGTATGAAGATAACAATGGTTCAATGTTTTTTTTTCAAATATTGAACACAAAAAACATCTTCACAGTTGACCAAAAATCGCGTAACTTGAATTGAATGGTTAAAGTGAGTTTTGATGATAAAATGTAATGTTAGTTGAATGTTTAACCTGAATGATACTGAAAAAATGATAAACTAAATGCTTTTCAAAGTATTGTTAGCATTGAAACTGGATAAAGGAAATGTTTAAATATGTTTCAAGTTGATCAGTTGATGGACCAATCTTGAGATGTACTTTGATTGTTATTCAATCAACAAATTGACAGATTATCCTTTTCTTTTCTTGTTTTTCCTCTATTTTTTGGATACTTTGGTCCAATTTTGGTTCGCCTTTTTGGACCTGATTAACTAACTTTAATTGAAACGGATAAAAGTGAACAACTGTGAGTTTCCAGTTTGACAATGGTTTAAGGTAAAAGTGAATAAAAGTTAATCGATTTTTAGCTTGGCTTTAGGCTGGTAAAAGGCACAATCAATTGACATCATTATCATCATTAATTTTCTTCACCAATCTTCCATTCTTCATCTTGAAATCTTCACCTCACCTTGAAGCCATCGAAAAGGTAAGAATAGAAAAGCTGATGATGAAGCAAAATGAGCAACGAAACAAACATCTTGGTCAATATAATTGATCTCATCTCGAGTCAAAGTTTCATTTAAATTTGCTTGTTTATTCCTTATCCAATGTTGCCTCTAATTTGAGTTTACAATTGTGAGTTTCAATAATCGGTGTAATATCATTAATAAAGTCATTATTGATCATCATGGTTTCTCATTCATTTCTGCCTTGTTCAACCAATTTCATCAAAAGATGTTGTAGATTGTCATGAAAATTATGATAATCATGATAATGATTATTAATTTTTTGTCATCTTCATCTTTCTCTTTTGGTTCATGTTAAATGATTGTGATCGGATTAAAGTTGCTTGGTGTTGCTAATTAAAGATAGACTGTTACATGAAAGGCTAATTAATCGTTGATTTAATCAATAAATTAAAGACTAATTCAATAACTTGCCTCATCAAGCTCACTTGTTAAGTGATCATTCATTTAACCCTGAAATCAATTGAATCACAAAATATTGACAAGTTGAGATTTGTTAAGTTATGGAAATGAGACATTTTCAAAAAACTAAATAATTAAAAACAAAAGTCATTAATGAATTTCAAACTCAACTTTTAATATTCAATTTTGAATCATTGAGAAGCACAAACTGTTTCTGAATTTATTCATTTGCTTGATTCGATTCAATTTTTTTTCGTGTTTCTGTTCAAGTTGAAGTTTCGTTAATGAAAATGCTGCATCAATTGTGTCAACTGTTGTTTCTGTTTATTAACTTTCTCATTGAGAAAAATGTAAGATTTTTTCCTTTTTTATTCACTTTTTTAGTTGTACATCTTGTACTACTATCATGTTAGATGAAAAAGCATCCAATATCAAGATGCTCTTGAAAGTTTTGTTTTTATTAATATATGAATATGATTCTGGATGAAGCCACTTGAATGAATCAACAATCAGAATTTGATGAAACACTCAATGATTGAAGATGACATTTAAGAGCAAGAAATGTTTTTATACGTAAAAGTAAACATTTGCTACTGAATTGATATATCAATATCACTGGTGAAGCAAAAACTGGTGTTAAATATTGATTAAATGCTCTTGTAATTATACAAATAATTAACGAGTTGATTGATTAAACTATTTTCAGATTGGTTCAAGTCTCTTCAAATAAACTCATAATCTGACTAAGAATAGCAAATTATCAAAGATAATTCAATTTTCAAACTCAACAAAAATCAATGTTTCCATCAAGACAATTTGTATTGTTTAACAAGGTAAATTGAAGACAGGCAAGTTGAAGAGACAAAATTGTTTCAAGATTGATTCAGATTTTGACCGATAAACTCACAGAAGCAAACTTGATCCAACTCAATGGACGGTTTGATTTATTTTTCTTGATCAAACTTTTTTTTCCATGAAATAAAGATTTATTCAGATGAAAGGAAAAAAGTTGATTGAAAAGTTGAATTGAATGCATTTGTTATCAATGGCGATATGGTTAAATATGGTAAAATTGTTTGTAATTATGGAAGGTTAAGTGAATCGATATTTTCAATGAATAGATGATCTTTTAATCATCTTAGATGGGATTATAGTTTCATCTGGTCCTTTTCAATCAAACTCAGAGAAGAGTATAAAGATTTGCTTTTTACATTAAAAAGATTATCTTGAACAACAAATTTTCATGTCTTTTCAAGAGCCAATAAACCATCTTTGTTAGTGATATTACATGGTTGCAGTTCAATGGAAATGTCCTTGCATTGAAAATGTATTAGCAATATATACATGATCAATCCTGATCAAATGTATCATTAAATTTCATTTTTGCCGATTCATTATTTTGTTTTTCTCTCTCTCTCTACATTAGTCTATGAGCCAAGTTTCAGGTTTCCTTCATCTCAATGAACAACAAAAGTTTACATGAAAGCTGATTGTCTCAATGTCTAATGTACTCTGTGTTTCACCCAATCACCCTGATCATGATTGACTGGAAACACCAAGAAGAAACAGAGAGGAAAATATTGGTAAACAATGATTCACTGATTGGACTATATCAACGACATTAATCAACAAGAGACAAACAAATCAAGTTAATGGTAAATATCAACTTACCAGGTGAGTTATGTATAATCATTGAGGATTGGCAGCCAAAAAACTTAATCAACTGAAACCAATTTGTTTGGTTAAACAGTAGACGTTACAGTACAAATAAGTTTCACTCAATATTTGACTTTCATTCATGAGTTTGACTTAATGTCTTTTTTTTGTTCTTTACATGAAAAATGATGGATTCATTTGAGATCGCTTGATTAACAGAACCATTTCTCTCTTTTTTTTCTGTTGATTCCCGTTTTAAGAATTTTATGGTCTTTTGCTGAGTCCAGCTTCAGTCTTATGTATTGCTTAGATTGCGCTTATTTTTCCGGTTGATGAATCACAGATAATTTCAATATTGTCCTTTATTGGTATTATGTCCATGTAGGCCTTGACTTTTGAAGATACTTCAACCGACTTGCAGGTTAACAATGCAGCACACTTGGATGAACCTTGGAAACCTGAGGACATCATTTTTACACCATAGGCTCCGGTTGTGGGCATATCAGAATTGTCCATCCGAGGGTGACTTGACAGGTAACGTCCTGTTGAGTGACCATTGTCATGTCTGGTTGACAAATCACTTTTTTTACACAAGGATCGACACCAGTCATTATCACGAACAGTTAGCAAAATTTTTCTAAACGCTTCACGAAATTCAGTGTTGAATATACTGTAAATGACTGGATTAAGAGCTGAATTGAACCAACCCAGCCAGGTAATAACTCTGAAAAGTAACTCTGGTATGCAAGTCTTACAGAAAGCTGCGATAATGTTCATACAAAAAAAGGGAACCCAGCAAATCAGGAAGACGCCCATGATGACACCTAAGGTAATGGCTGCTTTGTGATCCATGACTGAATTGTGAGAGTGATGGGAAGATGATCGGGCGGAAGATGAACCCGAACTACGATCGCCTGGATCAAAGTGAAGAGGCTTTGCCATTGAGCGTATATGTTGAACATGTTTACGGGCGTAAAGGTAAAGTCGCGTGTATAAGGCTATCATTATTAAACAGGGAAGGTAAAAACTAATTGTTGAGCTGACCAGAGCGTACAATGGAGTCAAATCAAGAGCACATTGATATTCATCAGGTAACAACTGTTGAGTTTCATTTACAGTCGATGAAGGTTTCAACACTATTGATGGAGTGGTTGTTGTTAATAACATTTTATGCTGTTGGAGTGATGATAAAGGTGACAATGATGATGATGGTGGTGGAGGCAATGATGAGAATGTTTCAATGTTTAAATTATCAAGAGAATCGGACGGTTTATGCCAGCCTAAACTAACTGGTACAAATGAGATTAGACCTGAAAGAAGCCAAATCAGGCCGATAGAGGCAAGAACAACTCTTTTAGTCATCCATTGATTGTATCTGAGAGGATCCTTAATATGAAGGAAACGGTCTAATGATATTGCACAAAGGTTGAGTATGGACGCTGTACAACACATGATGTCAAATGATATCCAAATTTCACATGCCCTTTGACCAAATATCCAGTGGCCCATCAGATTGTTTGTCAATTCAAGTGTCATTACAAGAGATCCAACAAAAAGGTCAGCAAGAGCAAGGGAAACTAGAAATAGGTTGGAAAGCTTTCGTAGACGACGATCCGTGTAAATTGCAATGCAAACTAAAACGTTACCAAAAACAGAGGCTAAAATGATGATGATCAGGGTTGAATTAACGGCGTACTTTGTCAACATTGCGGTAAATCCATTGTTACAGTCTTGAGCATAAGGTTGATGTCGACCATTTGATGAAGTTTCATAGTGAATACCCAAGTCAGGCTCATCTTCAACAAGGGTTAAAGGGTTATTGCTATCAGGTTGATACAAAGTATAATTGGTAAAGCTAGTATTCATAACGAGCAAGATGGAAAGTTTAATGGATTTGATCTTCAACCAATGTTGAGTTAAAAGGTTGAATCTAGATGGTTAGATCACTAGATGCTGGGAACTGAGCATTTCACATTATACAAAATTCACAAAGTAACCAAAAGACACGAAAAGCATGGGGAAAAAGACTAGAATTTTGTAGCAACATTTAACTGGTAATGGTGGAAAAAGCATCACATTATCTTAACAAGAAGTCAAAAGAACCGGGAAAATAATTGCCAAAAGATAACAACGATGATCAAAGATAACATGAAAGGGTAACATTATCTTTACCCAGGTTTAAAAATTTCAACGGTTTGGGTTGTAATTGAAATAAAAGCAGATTAATAGAGGAGTTTACACAGTAAATTCATGATTGGCACCGATTTAAAAACTACATGGAAAAGTTATCATGAACAACTGATGAACACGAAGTAAAGTGAACGTTAAACAGTTATAATGGAAGAATAAACTGTTGCTCTCTCTCTTCTTTTCATCCAAACTCACTCATCTTCACTTTGATTACTTTTTGTCCCTTTCTTGCGATCAAACTTTTAGCCAATGAATCTGTAAATAAAACTCACTATCGCCATCTATGGTTTAAATTGCACCCAAATGAAAAAATTGAGTGAAAGTTGATAAACAGTTGAACAGAATTTAGAGTTAATTATGTTTTATAAATCTTTATTCAATTCGCATTTAAATATCTAATTTGACCAACGATGTATCTGTCAACTTGGAAAGATCTTGACAGCAATGCTAGCAATATTTTTTATTGGGGCTTTACAAAATTCTTCACGAATGCGTTCATAAGCTGATAAGCTTATATTATAATGGATCAAGTTATATCGCCTAGCGCAATCTATATCTTTGAGCTAACAAACAGGTAATTTGAACTGTCACCGAGAAAAATACGCATTCCAACTCTGGACTCGTCGATTGACTTACATTGTTAGACTTTATTTCGTAACTGTAGATAGTTACTCTTGGACAGCCTTCTAGCGCGCCATAGCAAATTGAAAAAAGAAGAGAACGAGAAGATGCAAGAAAATGAAAATTAGAAGAATGAGAAAAGTAAAATGAAGAGAAATGAAATAAAATAATGACTAGCAGCAATATCAAGCTGTAAGAGCGGCTTTGTGTGCTACAGGATTCAGTCTAATGGTTAATGTGTTCAAACTCCGAAAGATAGTCTCAGTAGTTCTTTAAATCTTCTAAAGTTGAACAAATAGAAAAATTTTTAATCAATGAAAACAAGATTCAAATCAAATTTTATTGATATTATATGTTATTTATTTTGATAAAAAAATATCAATGTGGGGAGATAGTAGTAATAGAAATACACAAGATAGCAAACTTTTTCGATAATCGATATTGATTTATAATTTTTATATCTTTGTTGATGTACCTTTGACAATGCATATAACGAAATGACCTCAATTATACCGTTATAATTAACTTACCTTGTTAAATGCACTCGTACCTTTGATAATACATAAGTAAGATTGATATTAATGATTATTGTACCTTTTACAATGCATTCTTACCTTTGGTAATGCATACAGCGATTAATCTTAAATTTTCCATGATTAATGATGTAATGCAATTAAATAAGGTTATTGCCTTATATTCAACTATTTTTAACGTAATTTTCATTCATTCGTTCGCCGTTCATTCGCGTAAAGGTACACTTTGGAATGTAAAATAACAAGAAAAATCAGTTTGATGAAGATAGGAATGAGCGGGCGAATAAAGAGAAAGAGAAATCAGATCACTCTTTGCTCAAGTTTGAAACCATTTTTCAACAAAATTTTCATCTCAACTCCTCTCCTCATATTACTGTAAGTATGTGAACTTTATGATTCCTTTTGTAAACGCTTGATCTTTTTTCTTTCTTTATAGGTAAAACCAACTTGGTGATAACGTAATGGTAAGTCAAAGGTAAGACATTCCCAAGTATAAACTATTTACTAATATTCTTTTTCTTTTTGTGACTTTGTGTGACTTTTTGTGACTTTTTGTGAACCATTGGATTTTTTGACTTTTTGTGCCTTTACGTTCCACTGGATTATTTTACATCACCATTGGTACACAATAGCAGGTAGTTTCTCTGATGAAAACATTTTGAGAAAATCACATCGTCTTTTGTTCAATTATGGAAGCAGATTTAGACTCTTTTGGTTTGAAGAGACATTGAAACTTAATCCATTTGTGATTTAAAGTTTGTTTTATAAATAAATTTGGAGAGAATCAACTCAAAAGTTGAAACTTCAATCGTCTTTTGCTCAATTGTAGAAGCAGATTTTCTTGAAATTCAACTTCATTTAGTTTGTAGGAACATGAAAACTGAATCGATGTGTGATTTGAAAGTTTCTCTGATTAATGTCCCTTAATGTCAATGCTACCATTCAATTTGTCTCGCAAAGAGCTTCCATCCGATATGTAGAATGATCTAATTTGAGGTAGAAAAAATTTGTAAAGGTTGGGTTCATCAAAATTTTAAAGCAAATAACTCAAAATGCATCAATGGTATCTTAATGCATGTAAATAAATCTGGAGACTCGAGAAAAGATTTATATTTTCACTGTTTCATGTCGCTCTGACAATGTTGTATTTTTTATGCCCTCCGGGCAAATTTTCCATAATGAAAGCTAAAATCATTTACCTTAGCCTTGACATGGTTTTCATGCATTGCCTTTGTTAGCCTAGGCATCAAATAGTCTTTGGACAAAATTGATCCCCCATCACCATGGTCAAGTTAGAATCAAAGAAATATTGATCAGTATATTTTAATCAGTATATTTTTAATTCCTATTTATGATTGCTTGAAAATTAGTAAATTGCTACAAACTAGAGGGCCGTATGTAAGAAACATAACCTCTTTTATAATTGGCCATTATCAATTAGCCAATAGCCGATTGGCATATTATTTTATTTAAAGGTTGGAAAACTCCATTTTGTTCCACTTGTGAAATTCACCCAATTATTTCGTCACCATTTCATCATATTTCTCTTTCAGTTCATTTTACTCTTTTTCCAATCGCTAAAATGTCAATTATTTATGATTTGTTTCAAGTTAAACTTATTGTTGAACATAGTGCCCTGCCTGATGAAGAAAAAGAAATCATGATGTGATTCTTCCGGCCTATTGAACGAATGGTTAAGGATCTGGAAACGATGTAACAAGATTTGGATGAGATTTATGATCCTCCATCTGTCTCATCAATATCATCCCCTGGTTCATCATCCCCATCCCCATTACCTTCATTATCCTCAATTTCATCGTTAATCACACTTCCCGACCTACACGAGGACCGGATAACGCATTGGAAAGAAGCCATTAGGAGCTGGTTAATATTCAGCAAAATGGCCTGGACCTAATTGAGATTCTTAATGTTGTCCAGGGTATAACAAGGAGACAAAGGGCTCAACATTTGCGAGTATGTGAGTTGATCTCGAGTGTTAACCGCCCCATCTCAAATCAGGTTGAATCGCAAGCCGCAGAGTTGAAATCCAGCATTTTGACATTTGATCGAGAAAATGACTTTTTCATAAAAGAACTCAATCGTTTGGCTGGTCACTCAAATGAGTGATCTCTAGCTATCCATGTTTTTTTCATTGCCATTTGTTTTGATTTGTTCTAATTTGCTTTAATTCTCTTTGATTTGCTACAATTCTGTGCCTTGAATCTTGTAAACCTCATTGTAATTCATTCAATAAATCTCTTTTCAATTTATAGACAATGCGTATTTCATCATCCTTTTGAAAAAAAGATCGTCAAAATCTTACCATTACCATAAGATAGCAAAAAAATCAAAAGATTACACAAAGTTTAATCGCCAAAATGAGCAAAAAACTGATAAGAATAGCTTGGCGCCAAAAGGAAAATAGCGAAAAATTTCCCCCTTTTATTCAATTTAACCCTTTGTGTCATTCGATGAGCTAATGTAACAAGTACCTGGATGGGGAGAGGGAAACCGGGAGGTCCGGAAGTATAAGAAAGTTCTCTGTTTTATACTACTGTGTTTCCAGTGTTTTGCGTACTTTGAACCATGAATTAAAGTTTAAAGCATACAAAATTCAGATGCATCAGCAACTCGATGAACATGACAAAGAAAGGCGATTACAATTCGCATCTAAAATTCTAGAAAGAATTGAGTTAAATACCCTGGATCCAAAGAAAATTCACTTCACAGACGAAAGTCATGTTTACCTCCATGGTCAGGTAAACAAGCAAAATCATCGAATTTGGGGCACCGAAAACCCACATGCATATACTGACAGGCCTCTACATTCACCTTATGTTACTGTTTGGGCAGGCATTTGCGTTTCGTAGGTCCTTTTTTCTTTGAACAAAGTGTCAATGGTCCAGCATATGCATCCATGTTGGAGACACAAGCCTTTCCAGAGGTTGAGAAAAAAGGACATATATGGTGCTATTCATGGCAGCAAAATGGAGCTACAGCCCCAGAACAAAGGGTGTCAAAAAATCGTTCACGATTTGCGGATCGTGTGATTGGACTTGGTTTATGAAATTGAGGATGGACAGGAAATCGCATGGCCACCTTATAGCCCAGATTATCTATGGGGTGCCAGCAAGGATTATGTGTTTCAACAAAACCCAAACAATATCACATGGACTTTATCACTAAAAATAATTTTGAAAGGATCTATTTGTTTGGATCACGATCAATCCAGCATGGAGCTCATCTGTTGGCAGAACGTTTCTCTTTTTTATCGCTTGTTCACTCAAAGCTTGTCTAAGCCAAATTTTATGTTGATGCCATTTCAGAAACCTTCTTAACACTAAAAGCACACTTTCTTCGGTTTATTTGAAACACTCGAGCTTTGTTGCGTAGTGAGGAATGTGGGCGATTTTCGCGATGAGCCGGAGTGATCACTTCAGAAGGTCGACCCGGGTATCTTCTCTTCAGTTATGAAGCGTTCCATCGACCAATTACACTAGAATACACAATAATAAAAAACATTTATCCCATAGTAACATGGTTAAAAAAAATATCCGAAAAACACAAAAAGGGTAAAATCAATGTGAATTGATATGTCGGGGTATGCATGAAGGGGCTTAAAAACTTTACTTGCTATTATTCAGGCACGAGATTGCATTCGCGCTCTTCATCTAAATGGATGAGGTGCTCATGCTGTGACAAGGTTGCCCACCATCCTCTTCTTGGTAACAGGGTGGTACGCTACCCCGCGTCTGATTATCCTTTCAATAGGATAATATTCCTCTTTATCAGTAGAGATTTCAGAAAAAAATATAAGAATATATTGTTTTAACAATGTGATAAAAATTTACTGCAAAACATTTAAAATACCTGTGAGTTAGAGGACAAAGGTACCTCTAAATTTTGCGGACCTTTAGAAACATGTAAAACCAAATGCATTGGCGAAATTTAAATGTGAATCGAAGACATTCAAAATCAGTTGAAAGCGAAAATTCAGATTGAATTTGAGCTATCAATGAAGATTGAAAATTATGAATTATGGTTCCCGACGAATAGTATAAATAGCAGGTGC